GGAAGCTTCGGGCTTCAAATACCCGGCTCGAGATGATTAATTTCAGTAATAATTCTTACAAGAATCTTGAAGAAGAAGAATTGTTCTGTCACTTTCGCCATGATAATGATGACTACATAATTAATAATATGAATAGTAATCCGGGTTTGGATAATTCCGGGTTTGTAACACCTTTGCAACAAGTGGTGCGTTACGACCGCCACCACCCAAACATGATTCTTGATAATCCGATCAACTACTACTACGGCGGCGGCGGGTTGTGTTATATGGATGAAAACCCAAACCCACAACATCCGGCGGCAGTTGAATACAGTCACCCGCCGCAACAAGTAAATTACTTGGGATTTTACAGACATCCACAATTCGCAGCTGAGTACTATATGGACCGGACGGCCACATTGGCGCCGCCACCGTACATGGGCGGTGGAGATTTGCCCCCACTGCCGCCTTCGATCTATTTGCAGGTGAACGAGCTGAAAAGCATGTGCACGCTTCCGGCGGTTGCAGCTGCTTCTGTGAGCAACGACGACGGGTTTACAGATTTCGGGTCCTCGGGAAGTTATTATTTGGAGGATGTGGAGGATCAAAGGGAGGAGATGGCATCTGCACTACCTCCGGCGATGGCGGGGAGCGGTGGTTTGCCACAGTTGAAAGTTTATCAAGAGGAGCCCGCCGGAAATAGTAGTTGTAATGAATTTAACCGTTATTACAATTTCACCAATCACATAAAGAGGTACTAGTAATTTGATTGCTACTTTGCTAGTATACGTTTTTTACAATTTTACGTAGTATTTAACTTTATTTATGGCATGAAATTATATTTAGTACTGCACATGTAATATTACGTTGAGATACTTTTAATTTGTAATTTCTTTAAAATATTGGTTTTGTATTTGAGAATAGTAATTTCTTAGATGCTTTGGTTTGTTTGTTCTACTAATTTTTATTCCAATTTTACATGCAACTCTTTTTGTATGCTTCCTATCATATACATACAATATACTATCCTCTGTCTCTTTTTAATCGCAACGTGTTGACTTTTTGCACTGTTCACATGATCTACTTTGACTACATTTTACACTATTATTTTATGGAAATTACTTTTAAAAATATATATATTTCAATTCATCTCATTACAAATTTTCAAAATCTGATTTTTAATATTTTTTATTAATAGAGATTGAGATATACTTACAGTCAAATGTGTGTGTTGGCAAATGTGCAAAGGTTGACTGTTGTAACTAAAAAAGAATGGAGGAAGTAAAACATTTAAAATATGCTTCCTAATATATATATATATACAACTCTTTTTGTATCTTACAAATTAAAAATGTTTCTTTATTTAACTTATTTGGAGGAATCATACAGTATAAGCTCACTATGTTGTAGACTGTAGTAATTGGTTTTTGACCTTATTATTGACCTTGTCAAACAATTCTTATCAACCACATTAACCAATATTCTGGAAGACCGTGAGTGGTTAGACCTGAAACGTCTTGAATTTGCCATGAGGTTAATAGTGTATAATTTAATTGGTTTTAAATCTTTTTTGTTTTGTTTCGAGTCTTTTGCCTTAATTAGTCCAAAGGAGGTGAAAAACAGAGAAGCTTCTCTATTGTACCTAGGGGTGGATCCGGTTCGGGCCGCCCGGCCCGTTACTGCACAGGCCCGGAACCGGCCCGGTTCTCGGGTCCGGGTCCGGTTCGGGCACCGAACCGGTGGGGGGTGGCGGGTCCGGGCTCGGGTGTTGGTTTTGGTGGCCCGGGCCCGGGCCTAACGGTCCTATTTTTTCTAAAAAAAATCTTTTAATTTTAAAAACCATTTTTGGCTCAACAGCCACTTCCCAAACGGCTATATAGCCGTTGGGTGGGTACCAGGGGGGTCCAGGGCCTTGGGTGGGGTGGGGGGTGGGGGTTAAAAAAAACCTATAAATACTCCTAATTTTAAACATTTTTTCACACCTCTTCTCCAACTCTCCCTAAATCCTACTCTCTACTCATCTCCAATTCTCCATATTCATCTTCTAAAATTCTCTTATTCTCCATTATATTTTATTTTACTATTTAATACTTATACAATTATTATATCTACTTATATATTAATTATCTATTTATAAATACATATACTATATTACTTATATTTCTTATCTACTTAATCTCTACTTATATCTCTTAATACATACATACTACATCTACTTAATATATACTTTATATAATAAAGTATTAAATATACTTTATAAACTATTACTATATACTTAATACATAATAATATCTACTTCTCTACTTATATTTTATATATACTTATTTTCTTATTTTCCAATCTCCAATTCTCCATTATACTCTAATATTTAATTGGAAAAATTCACATGAATAATCTGAACTATTAGCGGTCTTCTCGTATTAATCCCAACTATTGATAATTCTAATATAATCCCAAGTTCATTGGCAGTCTTCCCAAATTGATCTATGTTACCTGTGACCTATTCAGACGGTAAAAAGAGAAACAAAAAAGAATTAAAAACAAAAACAAAGGTGTACAGCAACACTGTCCATCTTCTTGCTTTTGCACATGAAGTGAAAATGGAACAACAGTCCGCAGGGCGCAAGCTAGGATGAGCAGCGATGAACTCATGAACACCAACACATCCGTCTTCCTCTTGACTCTTCTCTTCTGAAACACGACGGAGCATCCGCCATTAATTTAATTTAGTAGTTGTCAAGCCACCGCCGACAGTCGGAATAGATGCCGGCGCGGAGTTTTCACAGGTTTCTTGAACGGCTGTGGTCATTGTGCACATAGTGTTTATGTCGGTCCTTCGACACCTCCCCTTCTCCTGAGTCTTGATTCATTGTCGCCCTTTCCCCAGTATTCTGCTTGCTCCGATGCACTTCACCGGCTCACTGCACATATACATGGTGGATATATATTATATTCCATAAATTAATTGAACTGTTTGGACGAAAAAAATATAGAAATTGAAGAAGCTGGAGTTTGAATTGCAAGATTGGGAAAAGAACACTGCTCGATTGCTGCAAGTGACGATATTGCTCTGTTGCTCCAGCGGTTTCTCCTTTGTCGAGAGCTTGAGACCATGACATTTCTTCTCCGGTCCGTTGGCTTAACAAGATGAGGATTGTTCAAAAACAAACAAAGAAAGAAAATATAAAAGATAAAACAAGAATATACATACAAACCAATAAAAACATGACACGTGTCAGAGTGACCTGCTGATTTGGTTGTTGCAGGTCATGGGTGTGTTTTGAGAAGATGACCCTCATACTTGGGATTATAATGAAATTACCAATATTTGGGATTAATATTAGAAGACTGCTAATAGTTCGGATTATTTATGTGAATTTTTCCTATTTAATTCTTATACAATTATTATATCCACTTAATACATACATTCCACATCTACTTAATATATAGTTTATACTCCCTCCGGTTCATAATCTCCTTGACACTTTGACTTCACAGGTTTTAAGAAAGTAAATTTGACTTTACTGTAGAGTACACTGTTTGGCACTGTTTGGATACTGTTTGGCACTGATTAGACACTGTTTGACACTTTTTGACACTGTTTTAGGTAGATTTGTTTGCCAAATAAGGCAAATAAGGAAGTGTAAAGAAGAATGTGGTACTGACCAAAAAGGAAAGTGTAAAAAAGAATGTGAACCAGAGGGAGTATATTAAAGTATAAAATATAAGTGTATTACTCATCTTATAGTAGTATACTTATATATTATATACTATAAACATTATATTATATATTACTTACTATAACTAGTATTATACTATTTAATTAGTTAATTAGCATTATTGTTACATTTTTCATTATACTAGTTAATTAGTTTATTAGCATTCTTGTTACATTTGTCATTATACTAGTTAATTAGTTAATTAGCATTCTTGTTACATTTTCAATTATACTAGTTAATTAGTTCATTACCATTATTGTTACACTTTTCATTATACTAGTTAATTAGTTAATTAGCATTCTTGTTACATTTTTCATTATACTAGTTAATTAGTTCATTACCATTATTGTTACATTTTTCATTATACTAGTTATTTACTTCATTAGTATTCTCATTAATTGTTAAAACAACTCTACTTCAAAAAACTAGTTAATTGTCATTATAGTTAAAGTCACATTTTCTTATTTTCAATTTATATTTGTAGGAAGAAATAGTAGTTCAATCATTTAATTAAAGTACTTAACATTTTATTTAAGTAGTTTTTACTAAATTAAAGTACTTCAAAAGTTGCTATAATTTTAATTTTAAAGTCACACATTAATTCTACTTTGCACTAAATTAGTTTGAAGTATTAATTAAAATAGTTTTAATTAGTTGCATTAGTTTTGTATCCATTATTATATTTGTTGTCAATTAATATTTGTTACATTTTTAAGATGGAAGGTGGTAGATATTCGATTGATTTGGGTAACCTCTAACGCAATCGAAGGAACGAGTTTAGGATGGGTACCCCATCCTAAACTCAAACTACAATAGTAAATGTACTTGGTACGAAGTATTACTATGATATGAATGATATGAATATAATCTTGACCTTTTCGTTTTAACCTTTAATACTCCGTAATCCGTACGTGTTTGTTTAAACTAGATTCTTAGCATTCTTTTATGAAAATAATTCTGTAAGTTCTACTCCGTAATTATTAATGGCCAAATATGAAAATTGAGTATAAAAAGTCAATTGCATTGCATGTAACTCATATTTAGAAACACAGATAGAACTGGTCATTTTGGTCATGACCTGGTTTCCCCTACAGGCTACAGGCTACAGCCCATTCAAGTGAACTTCTCAAATTTTAGTAAACAGGTGTACAAATATTATTTACCAACAAAGCCAAGTCACCAATATAGAATTGCAGACATATACGAATACGACAACAGGATTAAATTTAGTAAGTATGTTGGCATTATGAATCGATTATGGATATGACTCCCCTACATTAGAAATTGGAGAATCCTTAGTTCCTTACCCTTATCACATTCAGTGAGTCAAAGTTACGTAGACAAGAAATAGTTTTACATTTCTTTCTTTCAATGTTGCACATTCAAATTTCAATCTATAATTTATGACCTCTTGAGTTAAAACGAAAAAGAATTACAGATGAAAGTCTATCTCATTCTACAAAAAATAAAACAATTTACGAGTACTTCGTTTTTTCCACTCTTTTGTTCTTGGTCTCCATTTAAAAACTACGGGATAAAATACAAACTCATTTACCTCAAATTGCTTTCATCAGCTTATTATTAGTAGCAGCCTCAAAGACCAATAGTTCTACTGTAGTTGTTCTTCATCATGTCCGATACAGTTGCATGTTTCAACAGAAAAGCATCGCCGTTTAGTTGAGCAGATACGAAATTCCAGTGAGTTTTCCCATATGCATTTGCTACACCCCAAATAGGATCGTCCATTCTCTCATGTCTCTCTTAGACAGGCTCGTGAAGACCGACCATGTGCCCATCGGCACACCTCACAGCGGCAACCTGCCACCGAAACGTGGAGAAAATGCGTCAGTGCTCTAGCCAATGAGTGTTTGACGTGTGCACTGTATGCGGGGGCACAAGAGTACAAGGCTCACTCTGCATTGCACATTTTGAACACCCAAGCTAAAGTGAGTAATATCCCCTTCCTGGTCATGATCAATTCTTTCATAATCAGAACTTATTAATCCTCACAACAATGTTAAGCTTAACCTTCGGGGTTGTTCAAAGTTCAAACTACTGAAGTTCTCTAAAGTAGCTAGTTTGAATCCCCTGCAGGCTAATGTAGATTTGCATGATTGTTAAATTTCCGGGACCATGGGATCATTCGGACCAAATTGGTAAGGTCACCAGTAATATATATTGATTTCTTAGATGAACTACATTTGCAACAACCAAATGGTACGTGGCACAATGGGCTAAAAAATACACAACAGAGCGAACATGGATAATCTGGAGCATAAAAATATGGAGCGTAAAAAAGAGAAGCAACTAGTCAATAGGAACATACCTTCCCATGAATCTCATATTTGATTGGACCATCCAACTCTGCACCTAATGATAACAGTTTTGTCACGGTATGGTTGATGTCAGATACTGTGAAGGATATAAGTGATGAATATCCCTTCTCTGCAACATCATTGCTGTAAAATAAATTAAATAACTTGTTGATCAGATTATCGCTCCAGTCAAAATGCAATGAAGAAATAAAAAACAAACACATATAAAGGATCAACAAGTTTATGCTTTCCAGCACTTCTTCTTTTAAAACTTGTCAAAAGAAAAAATGTAGATTGTTATTTTGTACACGAGGGTGATAAAAGCACCGAACATCAACATCATTAAGGCTAATAGAACTTCTCTGAAGATGATATTAAAGAAGTATGCCCTAAGGTTGACATTTTAAAAGATCAAATGAGCCATATCTCAACAAAAAAAACATTTACTTCTTTTTAGGGTATAATGCAGAAAATAAAACCAAGATGCTTGGTGTTGACTTCTCCAAATTTCTAGTTTCCTACAAAGGACTATGATGTCTGTCAAGAGTTGGATACTTGTATATGGGTTCTGTTAAATGGTCCAACCGTCCAAGGCATAATCAGCAAGACCAGTTCCAAGTTCCAGCTTTCAAGGTATGGCGAGATACAAGTAGGACCCCGATGTTCTGAAGTTTGAATCTTATAAAATGCTTAATAAAAATTGCTCCAAATAGAACTAAAACATAGACAAAATGCACAAATAGGAGTAACTATGTTTTATTCCGAAAATAGGGCGTATTTGATCATATTAAAAGTACAAACTTCCCCAAATAGGAGTGAATGAGTCCTGCTTCAGAAAGAAAAAAGTGCTTAATTTGTTTGTCTTATAATAGCAAAGCTAAAGCCAACTAGCCAGGGCTAAACAGCAATCCATGTAAATTTTCTGTTTCAACTGTCCTGAGTAAACTACTTTTAGATATCTTTTGCCATTGCAGAAGCCTGAAAGATTCATGCTTACTTAGGCCAAATCAAAATCTTACTGAGTGTAACTAATGTTCCCTTCCATAACATCCAAGATTGCGAAATTGTACCGACTCCATTGACTCTTGACCTTGAAACGTTGAACTTCAATCAAAGAATTCCGTTCTCCATAGCAAAAAGACATAATCTTAGGGCATGTTTGAATACAGGAAATGCTAGGTAACAAAATAAAGGCTAAGAAAGATTGTTTCTTGTGTGGTTGCCCCCAGTAAGTGCAAAGGAAAAAGACACATGACTAATGTTTTTTTGTTTTCTTTATGCATGTTTAAATTTCTTGACGACTCGTCGCTTACATGATACAATCAGACACGGAAAAAATGACTTCGAAAAATATGACAAATATATATCTGCCCAATTTGGACAGATGTTAAAATTTCTCCCACATTATCTTTACTTCCAATTTTCTTTTGAAGTTGCATATCTATTTTCTCTACCTGGGATTGATTATTCGTGTTCACTCAACAACAGAGCTGAAAACCGATCTAATAAGAGTTCCATTTAACACACAAGAGTAGTAACACAATAATTGATAACAATGCACTGGCAGCACTGCACTTCACAAAAGTAAATATATGGAGTAAAGATTGTAATTTTCATTAGCATTTGCTCATTTCGTAATACCTGAATGGTCATTCTAACAAAACCATGTACAAATGCATCAGGCATACAAGAAAATAACAAATATGCAAAAGTAAAAGAGAAAGTAACACAAAAACATAAACTAGTACAAAATTAGAAAGCTTGCACTGTCATTTTTGGACAATCAAACCCGACTTTGAAGAAAACCCGCGGCCTATCAAAACCAAACTAATCTGGTCCGGCCTGAATTTGGATCGGGTTTATTCCTGTCCAGTCCTTATCTTGAGCTGGTATAAGCCAGTTCCTGTCTGGTCTGGTCTGGTCTTGGACAGGTGCTCAATACTATTTGCAAGTTAAGCTTAACACTTCCCTAATTGCGTGAATAGCTAAAGAGAAAAGAAATCACATTCTACTAATAACTTCTCATTTAAGGCAAGGAAAAAGACAAACAGACAAAGAGTCAAGAAATAAGATTAACCTGGGGGATTGCATGAGAGCGAGTTTGAGAGGGCCAGATTCGAGTTCGGCCCAGCGAAGAGTGCAGACATTGATCGTGAGACCCAATCCTTCCGAGTAAAACTTAGCAGCTTTCGGGACGTCCTTGTGTAGCTGCAAGATCCATCTGAACGAGGCCGCCATTTTCTTTCTTCTTGAGCAGCGGCAGATCTAGCCGGAGAGATATCGCCGGAGAAGAACCCAATTGTGCGCCGGACTATTTTCCCGCAGGAGTTCCTACGAACTGGGTCGCACTGAACTACCGGAGGATCGCTGAGCCGAGAGGAGCTTGGGCCGCCGCCGCTGGAAGGATCTGAACGCCGTTAGACACCGGAAGAGATCGACGATCATCTACGTACACGTTCGTATGCTTCGTAATACTCCGTATTTTAATACTCTGGGCCCCTGCTGGGTTGTAGATTAGAGCTGGGCCGGTATTAGATATTTCTTGGACTGGCCGATTGAACTAATAATGATTAGACAATTTTTCACCAATAGACTAAAAAGTGAAAATAATACTTCACGTTCTCTAATACATGTCTCTCTTTCTAATTTGGGATGTTCTCTAATATATGTCTCACTTTCCGTAACCACCCTGTTACCCGTAAAAACAAAACGGGTATTCTCCGCCTCATACCCGTTACCCGGTCAATGCGGTTTTCCCCGTTTTGACCGGGGCGATTCGGTGCAGGTATCCATTGGATTAGTCACAATTGTCATCTCTATAGGTTTGTTGACACTTTCTTTTCACAAATAGTCATATGACTGTGTCTTTCACGTACTCTACGGCCCTTAGTATCATGGGCGGACCGTAGTACAGACCCAGGGGCGCCCCCCAACATATAAGTCTCGCCCCTCCAAGAAAAATTTTGAACCCCCCAAAAAATATTTTCGACCCGAAAGCATAGCCCGCTCGCAAAAACTCGATTGTTTAAGAGCCTAAAAAAATAGAAATTATAGAAGTAATATTATATCAGTCCACCCCAAAATCTATTCCAAGCCCAAAGTAAAGAAAAAACCTGCGCGGCTAGAAGAAAGAAACAAGCAGAGCGACTGAGCTTGCTTCAGCCGAAGGAGATGAAATAAGGAGATGAAATCAATGGGGCATAACAGAGAGGGTCAACCACCCTACAAAATACCTTTGACCTCTCTGCAAGCCTCACTCACTCTCCATCTTTAATCGGAAATAGCACTTTAAGCTAAGGATGTGTCACAATCCAATATCTTGGTACTCTTACCTTAACTGGGAAAAAATCCAAGTTTCCACGGAACACCTTGCAGCACTTGATACGAGTGCTATCACGCCAAGATATGGCACCAAATCATATTAAAGTTAAAATTTCATATTCGTAGTAAAGCACCAACAAATATTATAAAATAGTTTGCCCAGGGTTGCAAATAGTCTCTAATCAGTAATCACAAGGGTTAATGCTAGCACATTTATACTAACTTTGAGTCATTACATCTTTTATAAGGAGTAGCATTTATATTCTCTAATGATCGATGTCCATTTTAGCTTTCAATCTTATTACCTGATGATTGATCTTTTCCAATTTCCATCTGTTTTTCATTTTCTTTTTGAAATCTAGAATTGAAATGAGAAAAACTATAGTAACCCTCGCATAGAGAAAACTGTTTAGCTAAAGCATCAAGAGATTTGGTCCCTGATGCCAACTATTTGTGTCGTACAACAAAAGCCCACCGGCCTATTGAAGTACAGAGCAGATTTGATCTGCAATTCTGGGAAATTAGCTTGAGAATCTGGGAAGCTAATGAGAGAATTTAGCACAATTTGGAATCTGGGTAGTGCTATCAAATGGAACCCGGGGGCAAAAACCAGGTCCTCACCTTAGTTTTCACCCATCAATACTCTTTTTTCTTACAAACAGTGTTTACTGAAGCAGCCAACTTGCTTCCATATCAAAGGGATTCCGGGGGTTTCTCATGTGTGAGTTATGGTTAGCTTTTAGATTAAGGTTCTTACTATCTCCTCATTTTTAATTTAAGTTTTTTAATTTCTGGTTATTAACTAATGTTACGAATTATTAAATTTAAAAAATTCTTAGTTTTAGAGGCAGTTTGGAATTACTCTTTTTCAGCTTATCAGGCTTATCAGCCAACTTTTTTACCAAGCATGTAATTTTTACTTCCGCGCACCGAATTGTGTAATAAGCTGAAAAAGTAAGGTTGACGTTACTTTTCTGGCTGTATTGGCTGAAGTTACTGTAGATGATCATTTTAGCTATTTTTAAATATAATTTTTTCTTCATTTTATTAATAAAATAAATTTTAAAAATAATTTTTTTCTTAAATCAGCAGAATCAGCCAATGCAGCCACTTCAACCAGAACTTCATAAATTTCAGCAGAATCAGCCAAAACAGCCGATTTTGGTGCTACCAAACGGGCTCTTAGATGTTCTAAAATTGATTCTGGATTACATTGCATTTGACTTTTCTGACAAAGGAAACTGCCACCGTGTCTTCCGATGCTTTGCTCTTTCTTTAGCTCATTGAAGTTAGGGGCGGGGAAAAATACCGAAATGTCGGTATACCGGACGGACTTACCATACCGAAAAATACCGAATTTACCGAAGTGTTTGGTATACCGACACTTTTGGTACGGTATGATACCGTACCGAATTACTTCAGTATGGTATCAGTATATATTTTGGAAATAAACGGTATACCGTTATACCGTCATACCGTAATTCCAAACCAATAATTAATTTAAAATTATAAAAATAACTAGAAACACAACATTAATTCAAAGATAATGACTTTATATCCGTGTTTCTTGAATTATTTATACTTTTTGTTGGAGATCGATGTTATTTCAAATATATTTATGTTGTTTAAATTATTATTTTAGCAAAATGTGTTGTTATCTTCATATATCATGTGTTGAAGTATCCGTACATATTTATAATATTTTTTTTGTTCAAAGTTGAATAGAACACAAATAGGTTATCATTGGTATTTTATAATTAATTTCATTAATAATTTTAGTATATCACTATTAACACTAATTTTCTATGTTTCATTTGATATATAATAATTTGATATTAAATCATGATAATTTACCGATACCGTAACTTACCGTACCGAAATTTTGGTATACCGAAACAAGGTATACCGAAATTTAGGTATGGTAACGGTATGTATTTTTGTATACCGAAATTTTATGTTATGGTAAAGGTATGAGATAAAATCTTCAGTATACCGTACCGAACCACCCCTAATTGAAGTGAAACATAGAAGCACAAAAGGCAACCAGAGATGAGGAGTTTCTACATTTTTAGTGGAAAAACAAGGTGCTGACATATTCTATGCTTTTGTTTTTATGTACATGCTGGTAGATATTTTATTTCATGCTTTGAAATGATTTCTTGCTCTATATAAGATTAAATATTTCTTATACAGAGTGGTATATGTAATACTAAGGGAAATTTGTTGATTCAGTCTCGTAACTTATAGCTATACCCGATGTTGGTCCTGTAACTTTATTAACTTGCAATTTAGGATGTTTTTACTTGGACTGTAATTTGCCCCAGACCAGACCAGACCAGTCCAGACCAGACCAGACCAGATTTGGATAGTTATAAAAATACAAAGAAACCAGACCTTACCAGACCATACCAGACCAGTTCAGACCAGACCAGACCAGACCAGCAAATTACAGTCCAAGTAAAAACATTCTTACATCTCGTAACTAATAAGTTGGTGCAATTTTTGTCCTTCTTTACCGAAACTTACCAATTTCGTCGGAAAAAGACACATCACCTGCTGCCACGTGGTATATTATTTGGAACTCATTTACTGACTCAATATTGGCCCGTAGCTGGAGTTAAAAAATCAGAGTGCGAAAGCTCTTCGCTGAGTGCATGCACAACCATACCAAGCCTATTATCGGATCTGCAAAAGGGGGAAGAACACATAACCTTACCTGGAGATTTCTCCTAAACTAAGTCGAGAGAGTGAGTTATTCTTCAAATCTGCTAGTAACGGCTCTCGATCAGACAAGAGTTTATGGAGTGTGATTGTGGTAAAAAGATTTCTCTTCTAACTTCTTGGACTGATAACAATCCTGGAAGGAGGTTTCGTGTGTGCGCTAGAAGCAGAGTAAGAAGTTCAGCTTTTTAATTTACTTTGTTTGCTTCTTTTTTTACTGAATAAACTAGAAATTTAAGAATAGCATGTGAATAATAAATTTGTTTGAAAATTAAAATGTATTTAAATTTTAAGCTAGGTTCTGCTAATAAAATTACCATCTTCTATTTGTTGGGGGCATTTGATAATGCATTTTTGTGTTCAAAGCAGTAAAAAGTAAGTTAAGCTTCATCTTGTTTTGATACAGACAAAAGGTTGCAGATTTTTTGAATGGGCGGACCCACCTATGTGCCATCATTGAACGATGATAATTCCGGGATTGGTTAGAAAACTCAATTCAAAAGAGGAAGAGGTTGTAAAGTTGAACGCTAAAAATAAAAAACTCCTCATAGTTGTTGTGGAGCTAGTGTTTTTGCTCCTGGTCTTTCTCATGTTAAAGATGTGAGAAGTGAAGATGATGTAACATTTCAAGAGTGCTAGGTAGTTTAGGTTATTAATTAATACCACATTATGAAGGTGCAGTAAGACATTGTTATTGTTAGTTGTAAGCTTTCCCTAAATTGTTAGAAATTTACATCTTTTATTTTGAATTGACAATGTTATTTACTTTCAAGTTTATGTTTATGAGTAATATATGTGGTCTGAAGTTTTAAGAAGAGTTGGAGACTCTGTCAAATGCTTTATTCTTAAAACATGAATTCAGAAAGCTTTAAACATTATTCAAAATGCTCCTGCTGCAACCAAGAAGAAATAATTTTTGGGAAAGTTCCCGAAATGGGACTAAAAAAGTTCCAAAATTCCAAAATAGGACTATCATGTTTTTATTCCCAAAATAGGACTAATTACTGCCAAATTTGGAAAATACTGCCATGTTTGAAGTCTGGTACTGCCAAAACATGGTAGTAATTAGTCCTATTTTGGGAATAAAAACATGGAAGTCCTATTTTGGAATTTTCAAACTTTTTTAGTCCCATTTTGGGTAATACCCCATAATTTTTTAACTCCAGCTAAGGGCAAACATTGACTCAGCAGATGATCGAGTTCCAAATAATATACCATGTGGCAGGTGATGTGTCTTTTTCCGGCAAAATTGGTAAGTTCCAGCAAACAAGGACCAAAATTGCACCAACTTATTAGTTACGGGATGTAATCTACAAGTTAATAAAGTTACAGGACCAATATCGGGTATAGCTATAAGTTACGGGACTAAATCAACAAATTTCTCGTAATACTAATCATGAAAAGATCTCTTTTCTTTGGCTTCATGAAAAGATCTCTTTAAAAACTGTTTGAAGTTTTTTTTTTATAAAAAAGTGGCAGTTTCTTTACTTTTAAAGATTTAGG